TGCTGCACCTGGCCGTCCCCGCGGAGCGGGAGGGGGCCGTGCGGCCGGGGGGCGGCCCGGCTGAGGGACCCCGCGGGGAGAGGGAGAGCTGTCCCCTAGCGCGGGGCTGAGCCGTGCGGGAAACTTACCGGGGGAGCAGTGAGTGTGCTGCACTGCTCCAGCTACTTCCCGCTGCCGTTCATTCATCTTCCAGCGCGATAGGTATACAGCCCCTCTTTAATCGAGACTTTTGCCAAACTTTGCCGAGGGGACGTTCTGGTTAGAAAATAGCTACTAAAGGGTGATTTTTGGAGTGTTTTTTGGGTTGTTTTTTTTTTTTTTTACTTAAAACTAACCTTTTGAACGTGCCTTTTGGTTTCAGAAGGTGGTATGTTCCCAGTTATGATATTTGCATTGATATTTCTGTCCTCACTAAATTATTTAGTACTGGCACGTTCCTTCAAACGTGTTGGACTTAGGAAGTATGATTTACACCTTTTTCATGAAATTATTATTAATCTATTGTCGTACACTTAAGCTGACTCGTAAATCCACGTAGAGGAATGTGAGTTGAGAATTTTTGTGGCATTCCCAACTGAGTTTGGTTTCAGCAGACTTTTCAGCACTGAAGTTATAGCTCACGCTGGAAGCAGCTGAAGCTTGGTGGGGCCTAGTAACCGTTATGAAATCCAATAGAAACATATGCCCAATGGAAACACATGCATACTTCGAAAGTAGATCTCTAGGAAATATATTACGGAGAAACTCTCCGAGTGATTTGTTTGACCCCAGAGTCAAGGGATTTTGATGCGTTTTTCGTTCTCTTTCAGAAAAAGAGCAACAGGAAGCAATTGAACACATTGATGAAGTACAGAATGAAATAGACAGGTAAACATTAAGAAACTTTCAAAGTGTTTTAGCAAAAGTTAAAATGTCATTTTTAAAAATAAAAATGTTTAGTAAAGTAAATATCTCTCAGTAGTAGATCTCACTCTTCAAACTCCCTCAAGATGTACTTATGTTTTGACCTGGTTAGATATAAAGAGCATTTGTGTATGACTAAAATTTTGAAGCGGTATCCTGGTTTCTTGTTTAACTCTGTATAATTTAAAGATGTAGAACTTGATTTCAAAGTCATAAAGTCACTGTGACAGTTTAGATGATAGAGATTTGCTTCTTATTGCTTAAAGTTAACACATATGCCATTTTACAAAAGTATGTTAACCTTTGTGAGCAGAACTGAAGATTTGCCTTAAAAGTTAGCTTCTCTTATAGATATTTTTACTATACATCCAGGTGCTTGTAAAATAATATGTAGAAAATATCACTGAGATATTGGTTCCATATCTCAAAACTCTGTGGATTCTCTGTCAGTATTTTGCTGGATCTTATTTCTATGCACAGTGTCCAACAGCAACTGCAAGTGAGTATTGAGTCTCTGACCATGTGAAGCAGCTGAAGTATTAGAGCTCTGCCTTTTTGGAAAACTAGTTACAAGTTATGTCTTAAGATTCTACTTGTGTGGGATACAAACTTTCTTTGCTTTAGCCATGTTTGCCGGACCAAAAATTATAGAGATCAAGTGATGGTGTTATATGCTAGCCTTCTACAAGTGTTTTGCAAAGAAAAAGTTTAAGAGCTAAAGTACTGCTTTGCTTCACGCTAAGGGTCCAATCCTTTATGTCGTGCTGCAAAACATACTTTGTATTAAGAATGCTTCATTGAAATCGATGAGACGGTTTCTAGTAGTATGTTTTTACTTTTTTTTTTTTTTTTAATACTGATTACAGGTTTGGGCCTCAGATATTTGACATCCCTCATTTGTCGAGCAAGGCTGGCTAATTTAATTGTATCGTCGGTAGTTAGCTGAAAACTGAATGGATTTATCTCCTTTAAATTCCAGTTCTCTCTCCTGTGGTGCTGTGGCTAACGTGTCTCTCTCTATTACAGACTGAATGAACAAGCCAGTGAGGAAATTTTGAAAGTAGAACAGAAATACAACAAACTCCGCCAACCATTCTTCCAGAAGAGGTCAGAATTGATCGCCAAAATCCCGAATTTCTGGGTAACAACATTTGTCAACCACCCACAAGGTTGTTCTCAATAGCCTTCATTTTTTTTTCCTCTGTAAATTTTACTTCAGCGTTTCCTTGCTTGTGAACCTTTTGCAGCTCTGACAGTCTTTAGAGTTGTCATTCAGCATACGTTGAAATAGGAGCCTGCTTCGTATGCAGACGCTTCCTTCTTGTCCTAGAGTTTATTTCTGTAAGCTTTATACCTCTTGCGTTTGTTGAAAAGAACATCTTGATCACTAGAATCCTATGGTAGTTGTTTTCCTCCCATATTTTAGATAACATGTTTCCCGCTTTTCTCTTTTAATTGACCCTTTTAAAAAATCGGTATTTTTTTTTTCTTTTATTGGAAGTGAGCCCCTTAGTCAGGACTAGTGATGAATTGTTTCTGAGGGGACAAAAACAAGCCTGCAGACTGCTTGGATTGGGCAGACCAAGTTCCAAGCATAGATATATTCAGAAGCGCTTGCTGCTTTTTGTATGTTGTACTACAGCAAGCAAACATAATCTTATCACTTCAGCAAAATCATAGACATGCCAGTGGTCTCTTGGTTGTTGCCTCTAAAAAAGGGCTAGAACAAGTTGGCTCGGGCAAGTATGTGGTTTTTCAAATCTTGCTTAGAGTGAACTTCTCATAGTTCATCTGTGGGACACAAATTTCATAGCTTTGTTAATGTGAGATTATGATTCTGTTTTAGTATCTGCACTGCTGGGGGAAGAAGATGAGGAGGCACTGCATTATTTGACCAGAGTTGAGGTGACAGAATTTGAAGATATCAAATCAGGTTACAGAATAGATTTTGTAAGTATGTTAACTATTTCTTCACTTGCAGTTTTTGCTTTCTTGAACATAATTGTGTATTAGGCTGTAGTTTGCAATATGATCTCTTTAGTTAATCTATGTAATATCTGTTTTGACTTGGCATGCGTGTGTTTTTGATATGTGGTTCCAACTCTTTGCTTTCAACTCTGCAGTATTTTGATGAGAACCCATACTTTGAAAATAAAGTTCTCTCCAAAGAGTTTCACCTGAATGAAAGTGGAGACCCATCTTCAAAATCAACTGAGATCAAATGGAAATCTGGGAAGGTATGTATCTGTGCTTTTGGGAGAGAGAATTGCTGCTCTACTCAATACAGCCATTTTCACTGTTATGCTCATTTACTAGCACTGTTATGCTCATTTACTGAACTGAAATTTAAAAAAGATGCAAGCTACTTTCTTTCCCTTCCCCTCTCCAACTCGTTCCCCGTTTTTCTACATACATAGTTAACACCTACCTTGCAGAGTTTGGAATATACTATTTACATGGAGATCTGTAGTGAATTCTCTTGGTTAGTCTAGCACCATCAGTGAAAGTACAAGTAGAACCAGAGGGAGAGATTAACAATTACATTAGCTTGTCTCTCTTTGGAAGTAATGTAGATGGTGGGTGGTAGTGTTTCCTTAAGACAATTGTTAAATGAGGAATTCTTAGGGTAGCAGGGTTTGGGGGCAGAGGTCAGGGCGTGGTGTGTAGGTTGTGGTGGTTGTTTTTTTTTATTATTTTTTCCTCCTTCCAGATACCACATCTTTGGACAAATTGCAACCACTAGATAATGTGGGCATATCTTTTCATTGGAATGCTATCTAGATAAATTAAATGTTCTGTAGTTAGATTCCGTAATAGTTGGGAGCACTTTCATGTCATCCTGAAGGTTTTGAAAGGAGTACTTAAAAGTAGAACTGAGGGTTGCAGTTAAATTGCGGCTTGTTTTGATACCCTCAGACCAAGAAGAAAAGTTCATCTTTTTTCGTTGAGAGCTAGAACTCTTCCAGAATTTGCAGTCCAGTACACCCTAACTGAATGATCTTTACAACATACAGCAGAATTCATGCAAATTCTGGTATTGTTCTTCATTAAACAACGTGAGCTTACAAATGTTAAGAATCTATGAAGAAAACAAATATTAGAAGTTTGGAATTACCATATGATCAAAGAAAGCATGGGTTTAAATAGTGGCTAGACGTCATCTTTTCGGATTTAAGGGAATAGATTGTTGCTAAACTTCTGGGGTGAAACGGTAGGTGACAGGACTCGCTGTATGTTCTTGTGACCAGACGTGTTAGTGGTTGGTGTGGTGTTTTGTGCTTACTGCAAAGAACGGCCTGAAATTTTCAAAGGAGAATATCTTAGGATAAGAAGGAAGTTCTTTATCCAACTATTGAGTTAGAGGAAGACAGAGCTTAGATGCCTGGAGTTCGAGAGTTTTTTAAAATGTGTGTATGTAGTAGTTGAGCATTTAGACTTTGAGAAGTCTTAATTAATCTCTTGTCACACTTGTGCTTCCCTACGATGGGGAAGCGTAAGTACAACCCAAGGTCCTGTTGAGTTTTCATATTTCAGTGCAGACCATTAAAGGAAACAGAGGTGTTTTTACTGTTGTTGGGTCCTGCTCATGAGAAATGCAGTTAGGCCACATGGCTGAGTGGTGTCTTTTGCTGCGAGTCCTTTGGGTCCCAAATGTTTCCTAAACATTTTTCCCTGAAGAAGGGAGTAAATGACTTCTTGTGGTTGTGTTTAGCTAACTATCTATGTTTCTAAATGGTGCTTGTTTGGCCATTCTAAAATGGCCATGTAGAGAGCATTTTTTTAGGGAATTTCTTTAATTTTCTTTCCAGGATCTGACAAAGCGTTCAAGCCAGACACAGAACAAAGCCAGTAGGAAGAGGCAGCATGAAGAGCCAGAAAGTTTCTTTACCTGGTTCACTGACCACTCTGATGCAGGGGCTGATGAACTAGGAGAAGTCATCAAGGATGACATCTGGCCAAATCCGTTACAGTACTACTTGGTAACTACAGTACTGAGCTGTTTATCTGTAGTCATGATAGCACTGTGCAAGTAAAAGTGAATTTGATCACTGTAGTTCATGTTGCATATGTGTCTTTAAGGTTCCTGATATGGATGATGAAGAAGGGGAAGGAGAGGAGGACGATGATGATGATGAAGAGGAAGAAGGATTGGAGGATATTGATGAAGAAGGCGATGAAGATGAGGGGGAGGAAGATGAAGATGATGATGAGGGAGAAGAAGGAGAGGTGAGCTCTCTTATCTCTAATTCCTTCTGTTTCTCTGGTCTTTGAGAAGTGAATAGGTTTATAAGAGGAACCTTCTTTTAAGAACAGCGAGTAATTGTTACAAAGGTAAAATAGTTCTCTTCGTTCTCTACAATTGCTCGTAAAGCTTCTTGAGAGGTGAAGCAGAACTGTTACTGCCTTAACTTCCAGTGTAGTGAGAAGCATGTTTGTGCACGTGAGAGCACCAATGAGTAGCTTTAGTAAACTTGGAAGGAAAGTGCTCTAGAAGAATTAGAATATTAGTGTCTGGTCTAGTTTAATGAAATTCTTATTCACTAGTGAACATTCTAGCAAGACTTTACTTCGAAATGGCTTTCATTGATGCATCTGGTTCTGTCATCCTCCCACCTATTAGTTTACTTTGGCTTATTGTCAGCTAGCTATGAAATCTGTCTCTGAGTTCAGGAATTAGAAGTTTCCTTCAGTAGTAAGTTGGATTCCAGAAACAGCATTCAAGATGTTTGTAATACAAAACTTAGAACTTTTGTTCCTGGTAATTGGCCATGGCCTGTCTTAATTTCAGTAGCAAAAATTACTTTTGTTGAGATGTAAGGGATGTTGTAGACACTTTGCATGCAAAATATTGGGCTGCGTTGTGTTACCAAGCATGTTAGCATCTGAAAGATGAAGTAACTTACTCTTCAGAAGAGTTCAAAAGCGGGAGGGGGAGAGTCAAAGAAACCTTTCACTTTTTAGATGTTAAAATTATATGAGCGTTTGTAGCAATTCTAAGTTCATTATTAACTGCCTCCTTTGTATGTACTCACAGCAAGTGTTACTACTCTTTAGTGAAGAGGGAGAGAGATCAACTTTACAGCATCCTATGAGTAATATCATCGGCCTGTAGTCTCTAGGGTAGCAAAACGTTCTGGTTATTGCATTTGAAAGTCAGTTTTATGCAAGTTTATTTATTATACCTTTAATTGTTGCTTATCTTTCAACAGGAGGATGAAGGAGAAGATGACTAATTGAACACTGATGGATTCCAACCCCCCCCCCTTTTTACCTTTTTAATTTTTCTCCAGTCCCTGGGAGCAAGTTGCTGTCTTTTTTTTCTTGTGCTCAGTCGCCTTGTTCTCTTGAGGTCTCTTTTTCTCTCCTCTACACCATGGTTCACAATTTATTTTGGGGGAAATACCTTGAGCAGAATACAGTGGAAAAGAATCTACCGGTTTCTGTTTCAAGTTCGTTTTTATCCCTTTCTGTCTCAAAACAAAAACTGTTTATGGAATCAACACACCATGTTCTGTGGGAAAAAAGAAAACCTTCTGCTCCCTTCACTCTGCTGGAAGCTGAAGAGTGCTAGGCCCCTGTGTAGTAGTGCATAGAATCTAGCTTTTTTCCTTCTTTCTCTGTATATTGGGCTCAGAGATTACACTGTGTCTCTATGTGAATATGGACAGTTAGCATTTACCAACATGTATCTGTCTACTTTCTCTTGTTTAAAAAAAAAATAAAAAAAATAAAAAAAAGGGGTTATAGAAGGTCAACAGGGGTGGGTTTCAGATGTTTGGGTGGGTTAAGTGGGCATTTTGACAACATGGCTTCTTCTCCTTTGGCATGTTTAATTGTGATGTTTAACAAACATCCTTGCAGTTTAAGATGACACTTTTAAAATAAAATCTTCTCCTAATGATGACTTTGAGCCCTGCCACTTGATGGAGAATCAGCAGAACCTGTAGGATCTTATTTGGAATTGACATTCTCTATTGTAATTTTGTTCTTGTTTATTTTTAAATTCTTTTTTTTTTTTTTGTTTCACTGGAAAGGAAAGAAAGATGCTCAGTTTTAAACGTTAAAGTGTACAAGTTGCTTTGTTACAATAAAACTAAATGTGTACACAAAGGGACTGCTTGGTCTTCACTGAAAGAAACAGTTTTAATATCCTATTTTGAGCTTGCTCTTACTTTGCCTTTTTTTTTTTTTCTGGCATTTGGTCAGTATTTGTATATTGCGAAGCAACATTGCGGTTGCATGGACTGATCATCAGTTTAATTAGTTTCCGTTATTTTAGTACTTGGAAAGTGTTTCATTTGGTAGTTACTACTGCACATTCTGTTTCTCTTGAATTGCCCAGCTCTTTAAGACAGCTATTGGATGAATATGTGTTGTGTGAAGGCAGATGTTTATATTCACATTTTGCAACAAGAAAAATCACTCGATTCTTTTTTAGTAGCAATGTGCAGTACTTTATCTCCAGTAAATGAATGAAAAGGTCATGCAAGCTGAGAATAAAAAGACCAAAGATTTGAGGGTCCCAAGTAAGATTTTTGATGTGTTTTTGTAAGAGTCTTTTCAGTTGGAAATAACTAAATCTTAAAAGCGTAAGCTAATTTTTAGGCTGTTCACAAGAGCAAGATTCTTAGCTAAGCTCACAGGAGTATAAGGAAGTTGCTACTTCACTGCTCTCTTTCCTTGGTAGCAGCATGCGTATATCCTTTATAGAAAAACTACTTTTCCTTTTTAAGAGACAGCATTTGAGTAACTTGAAACAATTTCAGTTAGAAGTTGCTGGTTCTAATACTCCACAAAGAGTAATGAAACTTGTTTAACCGTGCTGTGCATTTGAAAATATTTAAATTGTTTTATCAGCTAATCTCAAATTCAAATAGCTAGTTCTCTTTGGATGTGTAGAGAAGATTGTCTTCTGGGAAGACTTGCTGTTACATTCTGTGCTTCCTTCTTCTTCCCAAAACTCGCTATAGTCAAATACAGCATTTTTTTTAGACACTTAAGAATACACTTTGCAAAATGAGATTAATCTCTAGTTGATGCATGCCCAAATAATACGGGGGAAAGAAGTGTTCTCTATGTGACTGATCCAGTTTGGATGCAATCCAGTTGTCGGAGACAACACAATCTCTGTATGTGATCAATGCAAAATGAGACAACCATCTACTTTTTTCCATCTCGGCGTATGCGTCTGCCCTTGATCTTAACTGCTCTCAAAGTAAAATATTAACTGGTAACAGTTCTTTCTCTGCAGATAGTAAGAAACTAAAACTGTGAAGTCTATACACTTTAAATTCATTTAATTCCTTTTTGGTTTTTTTTTTGAAGTCCATTTTCTTTTATGGTAGAGGGTAAATGCACTCTTAGTTGCCTTGATGCCTCATGAATGTCACTTTGTTTATGTAATCCTAATTGATTGTAGTTCTTGAGGGAAAGAAGCTTTTCCTAGTCTTATTTTGATGCTTTAGGAAAAATACTGTGCCATGGTGGTTACAGCCCTTTCTGTCGCTAGCACCAAACCTATAAAAGCTGTTTTGAAAGTAATCAAAGCTTCATGTTCTGTTAAGTTATGAATACCATGAACAAGAAATGAAAAGGCTGGATAATCAAGTGCTACTTTTCAGAGTCTTACACATTCTTTAGGATTGTACAGGGTGATAAATCACCTTTGCTAGTGTACTGATAATGAGTTTCCTGTGAAACTTCTGGGTTTACTCCTTGCAATGGCTAAAGAGGTAAACTTTTTAAACCATATTTGTTATGTGTAGTCTTAATTCTTTTCTAGTAATGGAAAAGAGTAGCGATTAGCACATTTCTTTACAACACTGAAGTAGTATTGCAGGTGGCCATCATGTGCTCTGACTCTTGGCTTAATTTCTAATTTGTCTAAATACACATAACTTTTATATGCATATAAAAGCATTTAAAGGTAGAAAGGCACCTTGGGTAAGAAGGGGGGGGGGGTTTCCACTTGTATTAAACATCTATCTCTAGTTAATTTCCCAGTGCTGCTTGAGCTTGCATCCAGTAATCCTGTTGAGTGAAACTTATCACAGGTGGAAGCTTCAATTTCCAGGGCAATGGTTAGAATACAGAAATGGAGGCAGTTTATAATAAACAGTAAGCTATTGTGTTGGGGCTGTACAACTTAAGGCTTAAGGTTATTTTTAAGTTTGAAGTTTAATCACTAACAAATGGAATATTTGGAACTAGGAATTACAGGCAAAAAGGTAAGCAAATATATCCATGGGTGTGTAAATATAGTTAGAAAGGGTTTTTGGTATACAGGTTATCTGTGTGCTTATTCGTAGCTGTTGACAGTTTTTATCCCTAAACAAGCATTATCTTAATTTATTTGTCAGTCACTTATGCCATTCATCTCGATCTGTAAGCTTCTATTTGCTCTAAAACAGGTGTATAAAGGTAGTACTTTGTTTATCCAATAGTAGTGCTCCTGAAATTTGAAACCATGCTTTTTTGTATTTTCAAAAGGGACAGAACTGAATTAAAAGCACCTCATTTCTCTGAGGTGCCTTCAAGCTCTCTTTCTGGTTGAAGGAATTAAAAATACCTTTAACTGTTAATTGATATTACTGTTTCTAAGCCTCCCCCCCCAAAAAAAAAAAAAAAAAGTTAAGCCTCTCGCTCTGCATTCCCTTTCATGGGTGAGCCCGATAGTGTTGACTCTATGAATTTCAGATGCCCAGTGTGTGAACAGTGAGAGGCGATTACAAGTGATTCTGGAATAAGAAGCTTGCTTCCTCTGGTGAACAGATTTATGCTTAAACTCTTGCCCTCCCTCTCTTGGCTTAAACCCGGAACTTTCTAAGATTTCGTCACCCTCTTCTCTGAACGCGCCTATTCCAGCAGAGGGAGTCCTCTAAGACATAACTCCCGGTTGGGGGCGCAGCGGGAGCCGTCGGAGGCTTCGAAGATTTCGACGGAGTCCAACCCAGGCCGCGGTAGTAACGCTGCCTCCTTGCGCGCTGAGCCGGGAGGCTGGCGGTCTATTCCGCGGCTTGCTCCCGAGCAAGGTGTCCCTTCTCTCCCGCTCCCTCCGCGCCGCCGCGGCAGTAAAGCTGGCAGGGTCGGTACGCAGAAACCAGCGCACCGCGGGGCTGGCTCCTGCTCCATCCAGCGGCAGCGGGAGTGCAGAGCTGGCGAATCCGAAAGAGCCAAAGAGCGAGATTTCGCTTTCCAGCCCTCGGCCGAGGAGGCCGACTGCTCCGCGACGTGAGGGCGCCCTTCGGCGCTCCCAAGCCCGCAGGCAAAAGGGGCGAGAGCGGCGAGGAGCAAGGCTTTCCTGGAGCCATAAGTCACCTACGAGCCTTTCCCAGACATGCCACTTTTCCTGCGGGCTGAGCAGCGGCCAGGAGCTGCCGGTTCAAAAGCAGGGCATGCCTTGGCCCCCACTACTCCCCCAGGAGGGCTTCGAAAGAGAGCAGACAGCTCGATCCCGGGGCTGCCTCTATGAGCCTCTTGGAAACCGCAGCCCGTCCCCTGGGGCCGGTCACATGCTCCTGCTTTCCAGGGATGGCTGTACTGAGCAGGAGCCGCGGCTGGGGCGGCTCCCCTGGCCCAAGAGTGTCCCGGGAACCAAGAGGAGTCCTGCTCTGCTGGCCAGCACTTGTACACTAACAGCTGCTCACCGCACCTGCTAAATGCCTCTCCCCAGCTGCCTCCTGGAAGAGCTGGGTGGGTGCTCAGCGCTCCCCAGCAGTGACCCGTTGTCCCGTGGGACAGAGACCCGAGCAAGGGGGAAACGCCTAGCCCGCACGCCGGCTGCCTCTGTCTGTGGGATCTGCAGGAAGAGCCGAGCCATGCCCATGGGAAGGGCTTGGAGGCCCCAGCTGGGACACGGGGTAGCAGGGGACATCTCTGACCAAAGAAGCGCCAGTAAAGCCAGCACAGTGTCCTCCTCGCCTCTGGGCTCGTATGTGAACTCCAAGGGCTGGCCCTTGCCCGCCTTGACCATCCGGGCCAGGGGGGCTCGTTCAGCCTGTTAGTCCACAGCCAATTGCTCCAGCTTGCTGGGCTCCCTGAACCTGCCCCCCCAGACCCCTGCTGCCCGCCTCGTCCAGAAGGCATGAGACCTGAACGGAACAGGGGGGAAAACCCCCACGTAAACCCACCTCTGATGGTGGGAAACCGACCTCTGCTGCCATGGCCCCACCGAGGGCTCCCACCACGTGTCCCTCTGTCTGACTGTGCCAAGTGCAGCCCCCATCCCTGGCTGCTGGGACACCCTTTGTCCACTGAAGACAAGGCAGAGTGCCCCAGCTCCTTCGAAACCTACACCTATTAATTTGACTTGCCACTTTCCAATATTTGCACTGAAAGAATGCAGTCCAATTTAAAATTCTTCCTTAAACACTAAACAGAGACAGTGCCATGTTACAAACAGCAAAAGGTTCCAAAAGGGTTTATATTAGTACAGGTCTGTGTCAGGTTGTACAGACTTATGCCAGGCTCTATGGGCTCCTACAGGGCTTGTGCTGGGCTCTGTAGGTTCCTGTGGGCCTATGCTGGGCTCTACAGGCTTGTACCAGGCTCTGTGGGCTCCTACGGGCTTGTGCCAGGCTCTACACGGTTGAAGGGCTCAGATGAGCTCGTGCTGCGCTCTACGGCCTCTGACGGGCTCATTTCAGGCTCTATGGTCTCGTACAGGTTCATGCCAGGTTCTATGAGCTCCTATGGGCTCATACAGGCTTGTACTAGCCTCTACAGGCTCAGACGGGCTTGTGTTGGGCTAAACCGGCTCCTATGGGCTTCCGCCAGGCTCTACGGGCTCAGACGGGCTGGTGCTGGGTTCTGTGGCCTCAGACAGGCCTGTGTCGGGCTCTACAGGTTCCTACAGTCCTGTGCCCAGCTCTAGAGACTCATACAGGCTTGTACCGGGCTCTGTGCACTTGTACACCCCTGTGCTGGGCTCTGCGGGCTCGCACAGCCTCATATCAGGCTCTACAGTCTCCTATGGGCTTGTAGTGGCTTCTACAGGCAAGTACAGGCTCATGCCAGGATCTACGGGGTCCTACGGGCTCATGCCGGGCACTATGGGCTCCTACAGGCTCGTGCTGGCCTCCAAGGGCTCCTAAGAGGCTGTGCCAGGCTCTACAAGCTCGTATGGGCTTGTGCAGAGCTCTACAGGCTCCTACAGGCCTGTGCCGGGCTTGAAAGGTAAGCAAGGGCTTATGCCATGCGGTCATGCTCTAGGGGCTCGTGCTGGGCTCTACAGGCTCAAATGGGCTTGTTTCAGGCTCTACAGACTCATATGGGATGGTACCAGGCTCTACGGGGTCCTAATGGCCTGTGCCAGGCTCTACAGGCTTGTATGGGCCTGTGCTGGGCTCTACAGGTTCGCATGGTCTCATGCCGGGCTTTATGGGCTCATGGTGGGCTCTGCAGGCTTGTGCCATGCTTGTATGGGCTGCTACAGGTTCATGCTGGGCTCTACAGGCTGCTATGGGATCGTGCCAGGTTCTAGAAGCTCTTATGGGGTTGTACTGGGCTTTCTGGGCTCCTATGGGCCTGTGCTGGGCTCTACAGGTAAGCAAGGGCTAATGCTGCTCTACAGGCTTGTGCCAGGCTTTATGGGCTTGTAAGGACTTGTGCTGGGCTCTACAGGCTCAGACAGGTTCATTTCAGGCTCTACAGGCTCCTATGGACTCATGCCAGGCTCTCTAGGCTCCTGCAGGCTCTTTCCCAGCCCCACAGGTTCTCATGGGCCTGTGGCAGGCTCTACGGGCTCATGCTGGGCTCTACAGGCTTGTACAGGCCTGTGCTGGGCTCTACAGACTCGTACAGGCCTCTGCCAGGCTCTACTGTCTCGTATGGGCTTGTGCCGGGCTTTACAGGCTCATACGAGCTTGCGCCAGGCTCTACAGGCTTTTACTGACTCCTGCCAGGCTCTACCAGCTCTTATGTCCAATGCACTTCCTTTATTAACGACAGCAGCATGTTTAAACGTTTTATAGAAGTCTCACACATTTGCTTCATTAATTCAACTTGATTAAGCTAGATTTAAATTAGATTGTTAGATTAATTAGTTTCCAAACCTAGATTTCCTTTTACTAATTATTTACTTGGAGCTCATTTACAAAAACCTTATGTTAGAAAAACTATTCTAATCAAGTAGAAGGAAAACCTTTCTGTTTCTAGGTATATTTTTAAATGCGCATGTGTGTTAATATTATTAACTCTGGATTGCCTTCTGACTCAGAAGTGGAGTATTGCTCCAGGATAGAAAAAGCATATGATTGCAATAACAAGTAACAGTATGTCATACTGCTGAGGAGAGATCTTAGAAGTGGAGGCCTCTGCTATTTGAAAGCAGCAAGTATCTTCTTCACCTCTTTTGAACTTTGGGCCTGAGACACACGGCCTATCAATGCTGCACGACACTATGACAGTACAACAGCGTGTGGTGGTTTTTAATCATGCTAGCTAGGCCTGTTGTCCGCCTGTCAGTGCTTTTGGGTTATTTTTAACTCGAATATCCAGCTGAAGCCCACTATCTTAATCCTGAGTCTAGACGGGGAGCGTTGCAGAGGAAAAGTTAGTCAATACACAGCACTAGAGGCAGGTATTGCCTCCTTTCCAGGGAAGCATGGCACCTCAAGGAGAGTAACTGTCTACCCTACGAACAGGTATTCAAAGTTACAAGTCGAACTAAAACTGAAAAACACTTGATTTTCTCAGCACAGCAACTCGGGGCCAGGCTGGGGCCAGCCCCGGGGGGTTTTCACCACAGTGCCCGGCTCCCGCTTGGAGCGGGTGTCAGGAAACCGGCCGCGTTAACATCTGTCACTCTGTATATCCCCGTGATTTCGGCACAAACCCACGCTTTCTGTGCGCCGAGGGCACCGATCGCCCCAAAGCCTCTCCGTCACCGGCAGCTGTTTGCGAGCGGCGGCTCGACACGGAGGGAGATTTTCACGCTCGGAAGCGGGAGGTACCTCAGTCTCCTCAGCGTCCGGCCCGTCCCGCCTCTCTCTCGCTCTCCCTCCCGGCGCCGATCCCGGCTTTGCCCCGGCACCTTCCCGCCGCGCCGTTCCCCTCAGAGGGACTGGGACCCCCCGGG